CTTGAATCCTTCTCCCCTACCTCTGCCATTGAATGACCTTCTTCGTACGTAGACGCACAGGGATCCTCCAACGTAGAAGAGTGTTCGTACCCGAACGAAGTTGCGGAGTCAGATTCGTTAGTGAAGCTGTCCGACCAACTCCAAGATGATTTTTCCGACGCCGACATTTACCCCACCTCTTCGCTGATTCTTCGTATTACTTTTTCTCTTTCCCTACGTGCTTGACGCCGGTGATTACGGCTCCCAGCAGAATTCAAAGTAATTGTCACTTAAAGGCAACGAAATAAAACACAAAGGCAAAGACGGGTCAGGTAGGCAATGGGAGCGTTAGGCAGGCACGGCATGCGCACTAGAGCGTGAGAGGGCAAAAAGTGGCGCCGTGGAGAGCGTGAGAACTGTCGGGCGCCGAAGCTAATCGATAAGCAAGTGCAAGTATACGCGGCCGTTTGCGACCTTCGCGACGCCGGCGCAGCCGACCCAATAACCAATCAAATCACGAGCTGGCTTAAGACCGATTACCCCCCTCGAGTACGCTAGCTCGCGGCGAGCTCGCTTGCTATTAGGGTTCGGAAGGCTGTCAACTGACGGGACAACTCGGTCTTCACAAGACCGAGTCAGTCAGCCTACAATGACTCCCAAATGTGGTCTTCGTGGCATTCCCACTTAGACGAGATCCAAACCGCCCCTTGTTTCTGTGAAAGTCTGGTGCATGTCTGTGGGACCAGGCCCTGTGTGGCACACGTCGACGGGCTGCTGTGCATTGTCAGTCGCTGCACTCAGACGTGCCCCCCCCCCTTGTCTTGACTCTGTCTGGCCAGCGGACCCAGATGGGAGGGAGGGTGCGACAGATGCATCGCAAGTCTACTATCACGATGAGCCAATTCACGTGCAAGTGACCGTCCCTGCGCTTATCACGCTGTGAGCACACGGTAGACACCATCGCATGCGGTGATAGAACTGTCATGTGGACTGGAACCGAGATGACGATTAGTTGAGTCCCCTAAAATTTTGAGTCTAGGTGAAAGTACACTTGCTCTCATCTTTTACCCTAGCAATTGCTAACGCTACTTCTAAATCGAAGATATGACCTGTCTCTAGGATGTTGATAGCAATCTCAGACCATCGGTCTCCCCGTTGCACCGACAATTTGTGCCTATTAGTGCAATTATCTTTCAATCACATGCCTCAGTCTTACCATAATACTTTTAGTGGCCACGGTATGTCAACCTATTTCTCCTAGTGGTTTCCTAACTGATCTCTTCCGAGACTAATGTAAGCTTTTAGATAGCTATTTTGCGCCAAGTGGCTACTGAGATAAAGTACCTCGGGGACTTTGACCTCGGGGTCTGAATCCGTTTGAAGAGCGTCTTCTCGCAACTCTTTTTATTTGACGCAGGATACTTGCTTCGAAATTTAGAGAGCTTGGTGGATTCGCCCTAAATGCACATCAACAGATTATCCCAACCTTCCACTCGGATATCCCCCCAAACAAACAGATTAGCTCACTAACCACTACTGGAGAGTGGGAACGAGTTTGATTAAAAGTCAGGATTGGAACACTAACTTGCCATTCAGCCCATTGGGGACAACAGGTCTTTCCCGTTTCTAGTTAGACTCCAGTAAAGCTAGGATCTGCTAAGCCGCCCATCACGGGAAAAAAATGTTGATTATAAAACTTTCCAAAGTTTTCCCCCTTATCACCCACCTCTACCCATCCTTACAGAAGTGACTTCCTTCAATCCCTGTGTCAACGCGCTTGAAAACATGCTCCGACAACAGCTTCAGCTGACTCGAGAGTTTCTGAACGCACAGACCCAACTGCACTATGCACTCACATCAGCCGTCCAAAAGTGCGTTGTTCCCACGCTAACTTCAGAGGATATCTTGCAAGAGGTCAGTCGGCAAGTTCATTTTTCCTTTTTAATTAATCGGGTGAGATGGGTAGATGTAGTAGCTGTCAACCATTAAGAAAGGCATGGTCTGTTCCCTGATTTCAACAACTATGCCGCATTTTAAGATCGATCCGGATCTTTAAAGGGCTTTTAAGGCTGGTCCATCTAATATCGGATCGATTTTTGCCTTAAGATTTGCCTGATTTGTGACAGGGTCAACTGTCATATCCAGGTAGAAGTCCACCATAGCTATCCCGTTCTGATATCTTCAATTTTAAAAGCGAATTACCATTTAAGCGAGGGGAGGTCGACGCGTCGTTCAATCGAACTGACAACAAAAGACTACGCCTCTAGGGTGAGCAGCATACTACGACCGACTACTTGCACACGTAGCTCAACAGTTTCTTCTGCTCAGATTTTCGCTTAGTTTGGTATTTAGGAATCTTCGTAAGCACTTTTCGTTTCCAGTGCTGACAGTTGAGGCACTAGGCGAGATTGGGACACGGAAAGCCTGGGCACAGGCTCTCTTTCACCCAGTCCCTTCACCAGATAGTTGGCCGGCCAGGACAGCGGACGAGTGCATGGCAGATGGATGAGAGAGTGAGTTCGATACTGGGGAATCCATCTTCAAAGGACATCATCTTTGAAAATATCAAGACGCCCCAGAACTCGCAGCTTGGAAGGCTATCAACTATGTTATCTTAGGGCGGCGAACCAGGCTCAACGGTTCCTTCTGGATGTGGCTTCCATGGCTATCCCAGTCAAACAGATCTGAGCCGTCCCCGGCGCTCTGTGAAAACACGGCCCCTTTTCGGGGACCACGTTCTGTGTGTGGCACGCGCAGACGGGCTGTTTAGCTCAACCAATCACTGAACACGAGTACGCCTCCGGTCTTCTCGACCTTGTCATGACATCGGGCTCATGTGAGTGAACCAGGGAAGAGTGTGGTATATACTGTGCAAGTCTGCTATCGCTATAAGCTAATTCACGCGTTCGTCACCGTCAATACGTCCACCCTGCTGCTGGACACACTGTGGTTGAACTGTCGTCGATGTTATTTCGTTGTCTGTCGTTATATGTTTCAATTCGATAAGCCGAAGACTTATTCAGAGCCTACTTCTCTGTACGGGTTGCTGGATATTTTCTTTGGTTTGTAATTACTAATCAGTTTTCTGAAATGTGGTACCATCAAATAATTTCGTTCGCAAAGTGCAAAGTTTACCAATTGGTCAATGTACTTATTATACCCGCCTGAAACTTCGGACCCGTGTAGGCCTATAGCATCAGGGACTGTGAAGTAACCAGAACGAATATGCAGCCTCTATTCTTCCGTGACTCTTGCCAACTGAGGCCAGGTTCCGCCATCCGGCCGTGATCGAGCAGACAATTATAAGAAGAGGAGATCGGTGAGGTAGTTGATACCCGAAGTCCACCCCTCAAGCTGTTCTCCGCCTATCTTGTTACCGACCCATGACACTTCTCTTCTGCCCGCGAAGTCTACGTTGTGACATGTCTCCAAACTGTGGACAGTGACCTTCCGGTTCAGAAACCTCTCGTTCCCTGCGGTTTAGTGATTACTCAAAAAATCACTTCTGGGTAATTGACTACTGGAAGTTCAAGCACCCCACTCGTTATCATCATTATCTTGTCCTGACTTAGGCTCAAGAGGTCGTAACTTCGAATTTTACTGGTTCTCCATCTCTTTCGGTTTGCCCTCACTGAAACATTTTCGTTTTATTCTTAGGCCAAGTACGCTCGCAGTTTGCGCAAGAAAGCCCTCGCCATTCGCAATGAGTAAACTTGGAAGTCTTGGCAGCCTGTCTACGCACCAGGGTTCGGCGGGAGTCGGCGAAAGTGGAGTCTTAATTCGACACAGCTTCTCCCTCCTCTTCCCCTCTTCCGTTGTGTTACTTGTTTTTTTACCCTGATTTACATATTTTCCTTTCTGTATGTTTCAAAGAGCTGCCAGAAACTGCACCCCGATTGCTTAAAGTTTTGTCTGAAAGACACCCTCAACGTCCACTCCACTTCTTCACCACATCCGCAGATAACGATAACTTTTATTGTTGGCAACAGCGTTTGCTTTTAGCCGGCTGCATACAGCCTAGGCCAGGAAATGGTCCTGGAATTTCCGCTCGTAAAAACTCTACTCACTACTTTTTCTAATTCTGAAGCAGTATGTAGATTTTCGGGGTTTTGATCCACTTTCATTGCTGGTTAGTATTTGCAAGGAATAGAATTAAAGGAGAATCGAGTGTTACGAAATTTGTTGCACTGGCTACAGCGAACGCTGTACTTTGGAAGCCTTTGGCTATTTCGACCTGCATTCTTGATCAATTTTCATTGCCTGGCATGGATGGCTTGTACCTCAGAGTTAACTCATTGCCCTCTTACTGCAAGCGGACAGAATTCACCTGCTTCTCGAACAGCAAGTTAGATGTGCGTGCGATTCGACGGTATGAGACCGGATTAACAGCAGTATTTGTTGGTAGTGTTGTCGGTGGCAGTGGTGGTTGTGGCTGCGGTCTTCTATCGTTATAAACTAATTAGCGTTCAAGCCGTCATCCTGCAGCTATCATTCTGTGGGACACGCGGCGAACACCGTCGTTTACGAAGGCTGCAATAACGACAATCGGAATGTTAGTAGTAGTAGTAGTAGTAGTAGTAGTAGTAGTAGTAGTTGTAGTAGTAGTAGTAGTAGTAGTAGTAGTAGTAGTAGTAGTAGTAGTTGTAGTAGTAGTAGTAGTAGTAGTAGTAGTAGTAGTAGTAGTAGTAGTAGTAGTAGTAGTAGTAGTAGTAGTAGTAGTAGTAGTAGTAGCAATAGTAGCCGCAATAGTAGTAATGGCAGTAACCCGGACCAAATACAGGGTCATTTCGACCCCCTACAGGACTTTTTGTCTTGGGGGGTGGTGATTAGCGATGAGAATACAAGCTGTAGGAACACACTTGTGTGCTACCCTATTCTGGTTTGGCCCGCCGGCGTGGCCACCACGCAGAACTCAGTTTCGTGAAGGCAGAGGTGGTAGTTGAGAGCCAGGTAGGAGCGAAGTAGAAGTGCTCACCAGGTTCGTCGATGCCTTCGAAGAAGCCTTCAGTGCATTCCCACGGAACAGTCAATAAAATGCACTATATGCCTGAGGTTACTGTCCTGTTGTAACGTCAGTGCCTATTCACGACACGTAAATCTCCATGTTTGCACGCAAGTCATTAGGGGAACAAATTTAAGCTGTAACGATGAACCTTTACGTTTGAGACGGTCAGCAGTGATCCTAGGTAACATGTTCTTCAGGCGATAATCTATAGTCAATTATACAGGCCATTTGAATTTAAAAAATAAACGAAGTCGGCAGTCACCGTTTGTCCTTCTAACGCACTCAACTTTCAGGTATTTTCAGCGAAGGAAGAATAGGTCATTTTGATCTTGACGCGTAAGCCCGTGTTTGACTTTGTACAATTGTCACGTAGGTAGTTTTTTATTCCAATCTTAAGGAAATCCTTCAGCTTAAATGAGAACTCATCAATGTGGCAAATCCGGGATGTCCAAGTGAGATTGAATCTGCTTTGTCAGTAGGACAGGGGAAGTATGTCAGACGAACGCAACCCATCCGCATACGACAGTTTCGTATAAACATCCGCATTCTTAGGTGGCTTGTGTTACAGTTTATAAATAAAATAAATACATTAATAAATAATTTTTATTCAAGACCCGTGGGAGTCCGGTCATAACATGTAAGAATAAATGTTAACATGAGTTTTAGAACAGGTAGACAGAATCTATACGATACTTAATTCATAGTTTTTGAATATGTAGTCTGGTAAGAAAAATGATGAGCGAGCAGTGAAAAAACTCCTATCAGGTTAAATGAAATTGATTTGATGAAATTAACATAATAGGAGAAAAACCGTCGCTCATGAACGGCTAAAAAGCGGGCGGGACCGGCCTGCATGTCCTCAGTTCACATATTTATGTTATCCCCAGCCAGCCAGCTCTATTACTAATTCAGATGCAGGCATGAGGATATGCAGGGGTACAACATCCCGCAAGCGCATCATCCCACTCTGACGGCAGGCAAATGGCCTAGTCTGATGAGGCATTCATCCTTCATTCATAATGTAATCAAGCAAGGGTCTTAGAGGTTCTCACGGCAAATGTGTCATGACTACGTTCCTATTGTGCGCCACGCTACAGAAACGTTTTTTCGATGGACGACGGTGGTCGAGGAAATCTGTCCTTGCATTCATATTGCCTCGTCCTTGTTGAAGGAGCGCAGATCTCCTGGTTCGAACAAGATAACATCAAACCGTTCTTTGGACATGCGTGAAAAATTGATAAGCCACTATTTATTTGTGCTGGAAATCGTTCGATACTACAATTCCCCACACGGATTGGATGACGATCGCATTACAACTGCTCGCAAAAGTGATTGTCTCAAACATGAGGCCGCTTCTAGACCAGTCAGTTTGACACCAATCTCCTGCAAGGTCATGAAGAAGACCACCCTTAAACCTCTCATGTTATGTGTACCACAGCTTCCATAAGGGAAGGTCGAGCGCAACGAACCTTCCTTGCCCTATGAAAAGCTGGACAAGACCATTAGATGGAAAACACCGTACATATCGCCTACATTGATTCAGAGAAGGCCTTAGATAATTTTCCGCACCATCGTCTCCTCTGTAATCTGAGAACAATGGGTATTAGGTGCAAACTTCTCAAATGGATCGGAAATTTCCCCGCCAGTCGATCTCAAGTTAACCCAGCAGAGCAACTGCGATCAAGGAAGTTTGGAGTCCCAGTGGGCTCTCCGCTGGGACCACCCTCTTTCTCTTGTTTATTAATGAAGGTTAACAAGAGTTGAACTGTGATAGTGCCATGTTGTCAAGCTTCGTCTACAATGTTGCCGACGAAGCGGACTTCCGAGACCATCCTTGTCCACGCGAGGAGTTGTGACGCAGATGGCTCCAGTCATTTAACTGAAACAACTGAACCATGCTACGTCTCGGAAGTCAGTACCAGGTCTCTGATACGCGCACCTACCAGCTGGACAGAATACCACTCCAATAAGCCGAAACATGGAGGTATCTCAGCGTTCAGGTGACGAACATTCCCATGTCTTTGAAACAGTGTTGTAAGGCGGCTAAAGTCGCACGTGCAAAGTTGTATACCATCAATCGGATATTCATAGTTTTCGATAAAGATCGCTTCTCGAAGCCTTCGACACGTTTGTGAGTCCGCATTTTGAGATGCGATCCAAGCATAGAGATCCTGGAGGCAGCACGATTATAGCCTACAAGGAATTACCAAGAGGTCAACAAAAACTGCCAGTTCTGACTCTTTAAACTAATCTCAATCCTTATCTTCTGGGTTATAGGCAACTTGGCGGGGACTTGATGCAAACTTTCCGAACTGTGCGCGGCTCGGACAGTGCCTTGCAGTGTGTGAACTTCTTTGAACTCGTCACTACAACCAACCTGCGGGGGCATCTCTCCAAACTATGTGCGCTTTATGGAAGACCGAATGTGTGGAAGTCCCTTTTTACAAACCGCGTTAGGGAATCTTGAGATGACCTGCTTGAGGCGCTTGTAATGTCTCAGTCTGGGGGGATATTTAACCACCGTTTTAACGGGCCTACGTTATAGCAACAAGCGGCCCACGTGATCATGTCACCTTAAAAACAAATGAACTTATATGAAGATAAACGTTCTTCTACTTGACATTGTAATTTCCCTACGCTGTTGCTATTTCTTCCAACATCTATATAGCAAATAGGAAACTCACAGAAACAGCCTATTTCTCGTCAATACGTTAGACTGAGTTGAACACTCCCCAAATTATATGATTAGTAGCACTTATTGTCCTGCTCGGTAATGCGGCTTCCGTTACACTATGTAGCGAATACATAAGTAACGGACATTTAATATATCGGCTTTATTGCAAACCAATCGCTTTCCGAGAAACATTTGTTTTTCGAAAAATATCAAACAAAGTTCGTATATATGTCAGAAATATTAACACGGGGATCAGAAGAGCCCACAAATAGATAGATGGGGTACTTTGGACGTGGACAAGTAAGTCACCCGAACTTTGTTGGTGGAGGAATAAATACGTAGATCGAACTCCTTCCTAAGCGCACTTTCAGTGCGTGACCGATCTAAGGAAATTTTAGCCGAAATTCCAAAATGCGTTTTTGGATATGAAGAAATGCTTAGGGGGGTTTGTAATCTTGATTACCGATGGGCATAACCCTATGACATTTGGGAATCAACATGATGTTGGTTTTTGAATACACCTATTTGCGACCATCTGTAAAAATCACACTCGGCAAATGTGACTACTTTAGTAGTATTCATTTTCCACAGCGATTTTAAATGGCCTTAAAAATCCAAATATATTTTATATAAAACATGCAAGAGAATAAGCGAATCAGAGTGTTGCGACACTGACATCATACCCAGAGGATATATGACCACGGCTTTTAAACGTCCCAGACGAGTGGAGTGTGCATTTCAATTAACCGATTTTCGAAATAGACGAACGGCAAATTTTCAAGACCACTAATATAAATAGAAGATAAATTACGCCTTAGGTGAAGTGCGATCTAACTTCTCAGTCCACCGGGTGACTGAAGAATGAAACATATCACCAAATTCTGTTGTTCTAGCGGAAAACGTTCAGATATCTAAAAGAAGACTCCACAACATTTTAGTTGATGGTTTCAGCGTCGATGTCACTAGGACGCCCAGGTCTTCCTGTTCCACAACATTTGAAAGGGGCTGACCACCAAGGACGTATTGAAAGGAATCGACCATTCAGGAGGACGATTTCTTTCAATACATCCTTGGTGGTCAGCCCCTTTCAAATGTTGTGGAACAGAAAGACCTCGGCGTCATATTGACCTCCTCCCTGAAACCATCATCACAGTGTCAAAGGGCAGCCAAAAGTGCGATAAGGATGTTATTTGCGCTGAGGCGATAATTTGTGCAGATCGATAAAGAACTGTTCGGGAAAACCTATGGGACATTCGTCCGGTCTCACTAAGAGTACGCAGTCCAGGCCTGGCGACCGTGGTTGAAGAAAGGTTATCAACAACTAGAAAGAGTACAGGCGATGGCTACGAAGATGGTCAAGAACCTTCATCATCCGCCTTAAGAAACTAGGCTAACCGAACTAAATCTGTTTTCTCTAAATTGCAGGCAAATGCGCGGCGATCTCATTCAAACCTACAGGATTGTCAGAGGCTGCGAATGCACCCTAGACTTCGATGAATTCTTCGAATTGGCCGGGACTGACCTTCTGCGTGGTCATTCCTTCAAACTGCAGAGGAAGCTGGGTCATTCCGACGTCCGACGGAACGCCTTCTCCCACAGGGTCATAGGGGCATGGAACGGACTCCCTGATGCGGTGGTTCTTTCCGAAGCTGTGGAGTCCTTTAAGTGTAGACTGGATGTCAATTTGCTGAGAAACTATTGTACATATAATCACGATTGCTTTAGCGGCGGCAGTTTGCGCCTGGCTTAAACTTACCGCTAACTTTTTAATTTCCGCATTTGCTGATGTAAATGATGATTCTATTTCTGTTTATCGATATGAATATGGAGCTCAAAGGCGAAAGCCTCATTCCCTTAATAAACTGAGTTAAACTGACCTAAGGACCGATACGATGTAAACACATAGTTACGTAAACCATTGTACGTTTGTTTCCAGTGTATGTCCGTAAATAACGTTTTAAAAGGCCCTTCCTATCTTCCTTCTATATAGCAAATTATTCCGGATCACTAATTACAGTCTTATACTACGCGAAGTCATACGCGGTACTATGCTCCACTCAAGAACCATTGTAAAATCTCGACTGCGAAAGTGCATGGGAACTCTGCAGAAAACCCTTTCGACCACAGTTTTCAAAACCGCCTTTACCATCCTGTGGAGAGATAACCACTTGAAGAATATGCGAGACCCACGGCGAGGTAAACAGGATTGGTAGTACTCAGATCAGTCGTGCTTCTCAGTCACGGGTCAGACCTCAAATTAAACGATAAATATCAATAGATCGGGGTGATTGCCCACGAAATGGTTTCGTTATGAAGGTTTTCGCTGTATCCACTTACTGATTAAATGCGGAAGACGAGATAGGCCAGAGATCAAAGATAGTAATCAGGTCTTCGCATGGTACATATATCGTCCTTTAACCTGTGCATGCTTTAATATACAGGTGTGTATTTGACGTATCCAAACTGCAGAAAAAGCCGAGAGAGTTATTTTACGTCTAGTACCGATGACTTCCCAGTAAACAAGTGCTTTTATCCTTGCAAACACCAACCCAGACCAGTCCGGTCCAATTGGGATAGGTTGGGCTAGAGTTGGACTAGGTTGGGTTATAAGGTTGGGCCACGGTGTGGCAACGGCGGATGTGGCTCAACTGGCCCAATTGAATGGTTATAACCATTTATCAAGAAAGAATCTGGAGCGCAGATGATAACCAGGAAGCTTTTTAATGAGAGGGCTGATGGGGACTAATTAAGGACAAATTAAATAGGACAACAACACCGTAGTTATGTTCCAAATCGTGATTTATAAAAATGAAATATTTAGTCTAAGTGTCCCTTCTATCACCAGCCCAACCCAGCCCAATTGGGCCGGACTGGGCTGGGTTGGGCCACGGTTTGGTAAGGGCGGATGTGGCCCATCGATATCGAACGTATCCTTTAGTGGTCAGATAAACTTCACACGTTTCTATAAACCAATTTGCCTGCAGCTTGACTGTCGTCAGTTTATGGTACAAGGTCTTGACTTTGCTTCCCTTTGCTGTGATTTTTCCCCAACCGATGTATTGTTTATGAGTTTTTCTCAAATTTGTGAGGGTTTGAGCAGGATTGATGTATTTCCTTGCATGTTACTCGCCATCAACCGTCCACTTTCAACAAATCTGTTAGGCTCTACGGCCTCTGCATTGGGTTCAATACGGTTGCGGATCTTTTAAGATATGTGCCTAATTACTTCGGATAATATGAACCTAAACCTGGACTAGATTGTGATTGTCTACCTTTGAGGTTCCGGCGCGACCACACGATAAGTCAGATTATCTGTCGCTGAGTGTGACAAATATTTGACCGGTGACTATTGCTGCATCAAAAAGACTGCAAATGCTGCCACTGATATGGAAAATGAAATAATGTCGGCCTTGACCTTTCTGAACCTCCGCTACTGTTTCAATTGCGCACGCAGAATTAAAGTATCGGTGGCGGGAAATCGTCGACAGTTCGAATTCGTCTGAAGCCCTGGGATCGTGCCATGGTGTATCGCGGGAAAAGGCGCCAGAACGAGGCGTCAAATATCTCGTTTACGAAGCGCCGTAAAG